TACGCTAATGAAAACATACTTATATTGAATTTCTACCAGTAGAATAAATGTTACACTCTGGACCTTTAAATAAACGTAAATGCATTAGTTCTGTCAGCTAAGTTGCGAACATAATGGGTCGTTGTAGCAATGACATACCATCGTCAAAACCCTCCAGTATCAAAGAAAATGCTGCTCTGCACTAATACCTGTCGCTCAGGTGCCGTCCCACCATGTTACTGTGACAGTAAGCTGTATTTTTTCACCATTGTGTCAGTATGTATCCATAGTATCCATAACAGTGCCATTATGAAACAGGTAAACATAACATTACCCACTATCACTTGCACTGAGCATAACATGAATAAAAAAAGCAACACCCTTAGATACAGTGGGTCTCTAGCGACTCCATAAATGTTTGAAAAACAATGCTTTTTATCATTTATGACATTCTGATACCAGATTATTGTTAAAAACAAACGAGGAAGATCAGGTAGTGCTTAAATTAATGAAATTAATGAATTAGATAGGGTGTAATGCAGTCCTGGGTCAGGGTTAAACTGTAACTGCTGCAGAATTGTGTCAGTGGCGGTTGCTCCTAGCAACAGAACCCCCAACTGAAACCAACTGCTGCCGGCAGGTACACATTGTAGACCTTTGTGATTGCAGGAAAACTAAATTAACACATTGCAAATAATAACACAATAATGAAAATCTAATAATAATATATATATCTGATAATTTGGGCAGTAAATGAATGATTCTTGTCAATAGTTGCTTGCTCACAGATCTGACACAAGGCTGAATGTAACAATTGCACTTAAACTGCAACTGCTATGGAACTGTGCCAGTAGTGGTTGCTACTAGCAACAGAATGTTCAACTGGAACTACCTGCTGCCGCCAGGCTACTCATCTACATCATTCTTCAACACAATGTAAAATCTTTTTCTTTGATAATATACATATATTACCTACTACTACTCGAAATACCAGCTTAATATTTCATACGACTTTTATTAGTGCATCCATGAGAAATACAGCAGCTACTGTAAGAATTCATGTTGTTTTTCAAAATTAAAGTGCTTTCAAAATCTTTCATGACACATAAACGGCAGCATCAATAAAATAAACAACAGCATGTTGTGTAAACCATTTTACTGTATCTGAGCCGACCAGCTCACACAGACACACACATACACACACACATCGGCATTCTTGGAAAGAGTTTTTGTTTCCATAGAAACACAGAGGGCAATTAAGGTAGGGTTCCTGTGTAACAAAGAGAAGGCGGAGTTAGTCACATAAGCCCCTCCTTCACCCCATCCCATAATGCTTACTTTTTTATGCCTCTAGGAGGTCACTATAGAGATCCCGCTGCCCTCCTCTGCTTTATGTTTCCTCTCCTCTCTCTTTTTTGGGGGGCTTTCCTGGAACAGCAGTGGTCTAGATGAAATGATGCATATTTATAAGACAGAGGGGGAGGGAGACAGACAGGCGGCGAGGGAAGGTGAGAACGAGTGAGACAGACCGAAGGAGAGAGAGAGAGAAGGGAACAGTGAAGGAGACAAAGACTGACGACAAAGCTACTGACAACAAAGAGGAAACAGAGAAAGAGCTGACGGCAGAGAGAGATGCAACGTCTAATACTTCAGTGAGAATCCTTGAAAGTGTTCGCTCTGTAAACGTGACTTTCTTAATATTTGATGGCCCCAACCCGCCCAATGACAAGAAGATTAAATCTGAGGCTATCCCTTCCTGCTCCTTCATTTGTGTTCATTCCTCTGTTTTCTCTTTCAATTCAGCCTCGTTAGAAAATACTTGCCTGCCCTCCTCTCCCTCCTCCTCCTTAATCCTCACTCACTCTCTCTCTCAAAGCACAGCCCTCACATTCATTAATGAATAAATACTGTCAGAAAATATAGAATAGAATAAAAAATGTCCAAAATCACTATTGCTATTATTAATTTAATATTAATCGCTATTTATTTCAACCGTAGTGCACCGTCTGCCATTTTATCTCAACGAGTGTCAAATTTAAGCACCATATAGCGCCGTCATTATTACCACTATTACTAAAAAGTAGAGTCTGTGGCATTCTGCTAACAATCCCACAGTGCAATGCAACACAGTTTATAGTTGCTATGATTACAGTCATCTGCCATTTGATCACGCTGCGCTAGCTAGCCATGAATCCATCAATAAGTTTGTGTCTCTTGAAGTTCGAAGTAACTACTGTAGTTTAAAACTTGTGTACTAAATTAGGTTGCACCATTAAAACATAGGTAATGTCTAAGCTAGTAAAAAATGTGTCAATCTGTTGCTAGGGAACATTTGTGGTGTCAACAGGAAGTTTCTGTAGCATCATCAGCTAAGTTAGGGTTATAATAAGTGTAAAATACCTGATTGTGCTAACCTAGATGACGTTCCCAGTTTACTTCATTATTAAGTAGTATTTTGTGTGTCTGGTCCGATACATCAACCATAAACCATTATCTCGTTCTACTCTTCAGTCTAAACTGGTCAAATCATATTAGCGAGCTAAGCTAAACTAACCAACCAACCAACTCCAAGTCACTGGAGTGAACTGTCTATTATATGGACATTATATTTGCCTTTTTTGAACAGAGCATTATAATTCTGATATCCAAAGATAGAGGAAAATGTGCATGTTGTAATAAAAATACAGTTTTTTTCCCATTGCATTCTGTGTTATCATTCTCACGCTTATAATACAGCACCTCATTATGGCAGTGCCAATAAAGCATGTTCGAATTTGACAGTGAGAGAGCGAAAAAATGCAAATAAGAAACAGACAAACCAGCAGCAAGACGCTGCACTACGGGGAGAAAAAGCGAAAGGGTCTGGTTATGAAGAGCAACAGCTGCAGAGATGGAGGCAGATATGTTTCCCCAGGCATACCAGTGAACCTGATGGCTATCTATGTGACCGTGCGCATTTTATTACTCCATTAAATAACCCACTGACTAACAAAGAAACAGGCCAAGTGTGGGTACCAAGCCATTAATAACAGGCATAAACCTCAGAAAATGGATTGTGCTATCTGTGTGAAGCAATGGAGCGCAGATCGGTTGGTAGATTCATGTTCTTGGAGAAGTAAGGGGAGAAGAGGGGAGTGGCGCTATAAGGGGAGAACAACATCCGTACACAAGGGTTAGGTTTCATTCACTTTGGGTTACAAAAGTCAAGCACTGGCATATCTAACATTTCAAAGAAAACTTAACATAGTTTTTAACCAAATATAATACTGTAATTGTATATTAATGTGTGCTTGATGACTGAGAGGCTTGCTCACCTTTTGTCACTAGTGAAGCATAGGAGGTTTGTCACGCTCCAACCTGGTAGATTAGCCTGGTCTAAGTGTACAGTCACAGTCTGTGAGCGTCTCAGCAAAAGTGAAGTGTCAGTGTTCATGAACAGTAGAAACTGTGAATGAAAACAACAATCAAACAGGCTCCAAAGGCTCAGTTCAGATTAGAGCTTAATGAAATGACCAAATGTCTCTCAGAGTGCCTGTGAGTTCCTGTGTGAGTTTTCTGCTTTCTGAGGACTTACTCACTACCATTTGATTCAATCTGCTACAATTTGAGGTCTAATCAAATATTTTTTTTTATTAATTAAATCTCCCTCACATGGGACCAGAGCAGTGCACATACTGCAATACTTTATATTCTATCAGATATTTATTTATAATGCACGGATGCTAACATTTAGCTGACTCACACAAACTGGCTCATACATTTTTATAGCATACGTTTGACTGTTTACCTGATCCAACAACTTTTATTTATTTATTTTGATCAGTTGTCTGATCACAATCAATGTATTCTTCATATTTATCCTCAAAGTATGATCAGTGGCCAATTACTTAGTACAAGCTCAATAGCATGTACATACTGTTTCCCCTCTTTGTTTGAGGAAATGTAAAGCAATGCCAACCTTCAGTTCACTCATTTCTGAATATCAAATATATTTAATTGATCAATTCAGTTTTATTTGTATAGTTAGGCCAATTTCCATAACAGTAATCTCAGGACACTCTTCAATAGAGCAGGTCTAGAACCGTACTCCTTATAAAAAATTATTTACAGAGACCCAACAGTTTTTCCCGCCATGAGCAAGCACTTGGCAACAGCGGCAAGGAAAAACTTCCTTTTAAGAGGCAGAAAGAGGGGTTAGAGAGAGAGAGAGAGAGAGGGAGGGAGACAGACAAAGGTGCACAACAAATATGTGTCATATGTGCACAATGAAGATGAGAAATGTGAACAGTCTGACCCCATCATGACGTTATCGTATTTAAAGGGGTTGGCAAAGCTGTGGTTAGTAAAGGAAAGCCCCTGATGGAGTCTAGACACTGCTGGTGGTGGTGATGAAGGAGTGGACTTCTGATGAGCTCAACCTGGGCACTGGTTATGATGAACTGGAGGTGAAAGCAGTGGAGGAGGGTCGCAACGATTTTAAATGACAGCTGAAAGCAGCAGAGAGGAGAACAGATTTAAAGTTTAATGACAGCAACATGATTGGCTGGAGGTGATTGTGGCTTAGTCTGATTGGATTAACTGAAAGAGTAAACGCCCATAGCTGATTAGAAAGGAGAGTGACATAATTGTGAATGAATCAGGCTTAATGGGAAGGTTTTCCTGCTTGAACTCTCAGTAAAATTATAAACTGATCAGGAGTGAAGTGTGCTACAGTCACAAAGATTGCGCAATCTGCCGTACCATACCATCAAACCTTGCTTACTTAAATGGTTCAGGCAGCAGTTTTGAGGAGTGAAATATCTGCAGCGCTACTTTAAAATGTATTGGAATTTGTGAGTGAATCCTGGTAAGCCTGGTAAGAAAGAAAAAAGAAAAAAAGCTGCGTGACCATGATTTCAAACTGCATAATGTCGCATAATGAAATAGAAAAGAATAAAAGATAACAGAACATAGGTCTGTGAGAGGATTTGATCACATTGATGTGATACAGATGCTCTGTAAATCTGTCTTACGTTCTCTGTACACTATACTGACTTTATACTCTCTTCTTCCTCTGTGTGTGTGTGTGTGTGTGTGTGTGTGTGTGTGTGTGTGTGTTTTATTCAAAGGTCGGAGGTCACACTATGCTGCCAATCCGTTGGATGCCCCCTGAAAGCATCATGTACAGAAAGTTCACCACAGAGAGTGATGTTTGGAGTTTAGGAGTTGTTCTCTGGGAGATCTTCACCTATGGAAAACAACCTTGGTACCAGCTCTCCAATAACGAGGTACAGCGTAAAGCACTTATTCTATACATATTATTCCACTTATAAACACACCAGCATACACAAAATCAAACATAAGAGATGCCGTGAACAGGCATCCAACTTGTGAAGGTAATTGATTCATCACAATGTGTAAGCTGAACAAAAATAATTGAAGACAAAAGGACAAAGCAACTTTATGTAAATGTTACCACAAAGCTAAGTGATGGCAAACAAGATGTTGCAGCCTCGAGATATGAGAAATCAGCCCCTTCAGTTAGAAATAAAACTAAATATTTGATCCGTTATGTTTCTTATAGGTAGCCTATACATTGTGTGAATCCTTTGGCCTGAGTCATCTCATTATATAAAGCTAATGCAAATCGTTTAAAAACTAATTTTATCGTGTCTTGAATTAATTGTGAGGTACAACGCAGTGCTGGGGAGCTTGGAGCAAGCAGATGTGTCTTGTATTTCGAGTGGAAAATAACTGCTGTTTTCCTGTATGTTTTGTCATGAATCACACTTTTTATTGGTTCAGTTCACTTTTTACACCCAGCATACAGTGACACAGCCACTAAAATGAGGACTTCCACCCATAATTAACATACCTCATTTTATATTTTTGTCATTGTGTATATTTTGGATTTTGGATAGCTTTTAGTTTTGAACGAGAATTATTGCTATTTTTATGCTTTTATACTGCAACTTTATTGATATTTTATATTTACTCTCTTTATACACTGTACTAGGGCTGCAACCAACCATTACTTTCGTTATCAATTACTCTTAAAACTATTCTGATTTGATTAATTGATGAATTGTGGTGAAAAAATAAAATAAATAGACCAGACCTAAACCAAAGATATTCAATTTACAAAGATAAATGACTTGCTTGATAAATGACTTTAACAATTAATCATTTATCTAAACTGTTTCCATTGAAAAACAATCCTTAGCCTGTCGACATTTTTCGACATTTTTTTAAACCCACAGAATTTTATTTTAAAATCCAGTGGAGACCTGAAAGTTACCTTGGAGGAAATGTGTTTTGAGTGTTGCAGTCATTTTTAAAGATTTCCCTCAGTGTAAACATACATCAAATAGCTTCAGTGAAGAGATGGAACATATAGAGAATATATGTGATTCTGTCTTACATTGAAGATTGAATGAGATGATTTTAAAACAACAAAAGGGATTAATTTTATTTCAGCCGACTGACTTAATATTTCACTAAAAATCATTGATTATTTATAACTTTAATAATGTTCAGATACATCAGAAAATCCCTAAATTTCATCCACTGTATTAAATGTCTTTGGAGCATTTAAGTGAAGATAAAAAGGAAATGTTCTGTATCAGCAAAATACAACCAAGTAAACAAATAAATAAATAAGTAAACAATTGTCTGTTTCTTCTGAATAATTAATAACTCTTACAAATCCCCCAAATCAACTCGGGGTCTTGACCCAGATTCCGGAAAAGAAAACTGTATCGCAGCCCTTCAACCCTTTACCTTAGCCTCAACAACCTGATGACCTCCACTCTGGTTACAGCTTTCTAACCATGTCAGCAGCCCCCTTTTCTCCTGACTCACTCTGGTTACATCCAGAATTAACCTTTTGCCCCTTACGCGGTCTTTATTTCCCATTTACATCTATTAAATCTCTCTCCATTCGCAGTTCACTCACCTTCTGACCCAAATCTGAAGCTCAGATATCTCTTACACAGGAGAAAGCGTTTTGTTCCAAAATGAAATATTCATAATTTATCCGCTCTCACAAACTGATAACAATCACAGAATGAGGGGGAGTAAGTAGGTAACGGTTTGATTAGCAAAATTATGACATTCTTACTAACTGTATTCTTAATAATTCAGGGATATTGAATGATAATCATCAGGTATTATTATATCTTTTGAAATGGATATATGGCAATTTGGACGCCACAAATGTTTTTTTGGAGCTTAATAGAAGCCATTAATTTATATGCGTTCCACGTACACAGCAAGGTGTATTTAATGGTTGAGGAAATTAGAAAAAACCTAATTATATCACAGTATAGATATACTCCAAACCGCTGCCAGAGAATGAAATCTAAGGAGCTCTTTTCTGAATAAAGTAGTTTGGGTTTCTAAAAGTCTCCTCTCCTTGATCCACAAATCCTAAATCCTAAGGTAGATTTAAAGCTAAAGTCTGTATTTTTTTTTTTTAAATTAATATTAACATATAAGTCTTGAAGACTGCCAGAACACTACATTTCCTCGCTGCTATTGATAAATTGGACTGGATTTGTCTACTCCTTTATCATCTTACTTCATCATGCCAGTAAATAATTTATTCACTGTGACATTTTCACTGCAGTGAGGTGAGACAACTTCACCAAGCAGATGCTCTATCATCTTCACTGGAGTTTGAACATTTCAGTTTGAATTCTTGTTTGTTTTGTTACAGAGAGAGCCAAGACTATTGCTGATATTAAACTTGATGTCTGTCTTTCTCTTCTGCAGGTGATAGAGTGTATAACCCAGGGCAGGGTGCTGCAGCGCCCAAGGACCTGTCCTAAAGAAGTATATGACCTGATGCTGGGCTGCTGGCAGAGAGAAGCCAACATGAGACTCAACATCAAAGGAAATCCACTGCTCTGCTCCTCAACCCTTGGCCAAGGCCTCACCTGATATACCTGGGATATACTGGGCTGAGGAGGGACGGAGAAAGTTTTGGGATGTGTGTGTGTGTGTGGTGTGTGTGTGTGTGTGTGTGTGTGTGTGTGGTGGTGGGGATGGTTACTGTTATCTAAGTGTGGCATTTGAGGTTGCATAGATGTGTGTTTGTGTGTATGTGTGTGTGGGTGGACATGGTGACAGCTGTACAGGATGTGAAGCTATTATCAAACTCTTAAAGGCAATCAAAAAATTCCTCAACCCATCCCCAATCGCCTATTTCCTTCCTTCCTTCCTTCCTTCCTGCCAATTTCCTCTCCTTTGTGCAATTCTGCTCCTTCCCTCCTTCTTCCTTACCGGAGAGACATTTATGAAGAGTAATTCAACTTTGGAGGAAAAAAACGCTTCTCACTTCTTTTCAAATGCTTTAAACTGACTGGGGCTAAATTGATGAAACCTGATTAACAGGACTTTAAATTTAGTGACTCTCCTCCCGCTGCCCGTCGGACAACAGGACTCAATTGAACAGTCGGGAAATTTCAAGGAGGCGCAGCGCGGGGGGAGGGTTTCCGGAAGCTTCAATCCTTTGCGTGTAAATATGAGACTGTATGACGGTGAGAGGTTTCAGAGGAAATGGCTCTGTGCGATGTCGAGCCATAAAGACACTGTGTTTCCCCCCTCTCGCCCTGTCCGTTTGTCTGTCCGTCTGTCTTTCTGTCTGAGTATTAATGTCAGCATTCATCCAACAGGCCTGTGGAAAAGACTACACAGGTCATGATTAACACACTGGTACACATACGGTAGATTGACTGTAACAGAAAATGGAGGAAAAGTAAACACAATCTGGTTTTCTGCCTGTCAGATGGCAAAAGATTATTTCTGGTTGGCTAATTTTGCTGATATAAAAAAAACACAAACAATACAGTGCCTGCTGAAGCTGAACTGAACTGCTGTGGTGAACAAATAATTCAGGAAGACGGCTGAGGTATTGTTGATGATATACTGTAATTGTGAATGCCAAATACTAGAAATGTAAAAAAAGCTTGATCTATCTGGCACAATATCTCATCATGCAACAGACTGATATACACTATTATGAGGATATATGCACTCATATCTGCATACTGCATTTTACCACTGCTTTCTGTTACATATTTACTTTGTTGAGGCCTGGACTGCACTTTCATACAGCAACATCGTAATATGATGACTACAAAGTGACAGATGCTTCACGCGTGATGTCAAGCGCTCGTGTCGGAGGTCAATTGATTAATTTGTCCGCAGCTGTCCGACAATCGAGAGGTTTTGGTGTTGAGGGGGGAGGGAGGGCGTAAAGGTTGCTAAGGGAGGCTGGGCTTTGAGTGGTCTGATCACGGTCAAATGTGAGGGCGGTGGCGCTGTAGAAGGTGTGGTTCATTTGGTCAACCCATATTAAATCATCGAGGCTCTCAGCACTCAGACATCCTTGAAAACCACATCTGTGCTAGAGGGGACGACAACACACACACACACACACACACTGTATACCTTATCCCGTCATCCCACAATCTCTACACACACACAGACACACACACACTGAAAGACACTCAAAACGGGCCGAAAGGAAATTGAATTGTGCATGTTTTATTATTTGAGCGGTGCAGTGCTTTAGCCAGGCCCCGTCCACTGTAATGGTGTAATGTATATTTCATTACAGCCTAATGGGCTCCATTAGCACAGTCTCCTCACAGACATTCAAGACTTATTGTTTTATGGCTGAGAAGAAAGGATGGAGGGATGGAGAGGTGAAGGAGAAGAAAACAGAGAGAGGGGCCTGCAATGAGGAGCAGTGGAGAGGAGAAATAAGAGGAGAGGTAATAATGCATATTGGGAAGAAATGGAGAGGAAGGGAGAGAGTTCAGAACGGAAGCAATGGGGTAGAAAGGAGGAAACGATGGGAGTGAAAAGGTACGAACGGGTCATGTAGAGACAGATGAAGGAGAAAGAGAAGATAGCGGAGTGAAAAAAAGGGGGGAAAGAGAGGAGGTGTGAATGTCCTCAGGGAGCAAGTGAGAGCGAGCATCCATCATAACTGCGGCCTGCAGATGTTGTATAAGCCACAACTTCAAACTTCATGCTCCCATCACATTCCTACAGCTGGCCTCAACCACACACCCCACACTCATTTTACTGGCAATCCACCGACAGCTTACACTGAGAATAAACTCAATAATGTACCACACATCCCCATTATTGAGAACCACTTCACTCACTTACAGTACAGCTCACATATCTGCTCAAAAGGCTTACAGACACACTGTATATACATCAGCTCACATGCATGCAAAGAAACACATTTAATGTTTATTTTGGCATTTACTGGAGCAGATTTTACTCTTTACAGACATATTAAAAGTCATAATCACTGCGGTTTCACTAACTCATTTTAATTAGATGTAAAACATCAATCTGGAAATATAAGTCTTATTTGTTTATTAACAACAGCACTTGATGGTATTGATGTTTGTGAACTTGAAAATGTTGATTTTATTGATTTATAGTATTATTATTTATAAATTAATAAGCATTTTGTACATTTCTTTCTATATCTAAGGTTGCCTTTTGCAACAACAAACTGAAATTGATGACTCTGGTTTAACTGATTATGTTTTAGCAAATGTGTAAAGATAGTCTTGAGCGTTTATGTATTTTTATGTCAGGCTCCCTCTTAACAGCTACCTAGCCTGTACTCATGTACAGGGTACTCTACAACAGGGATGGATATTTCACCAGTCTGCCACATTTGTAGATTTAGTTTGACATATTGCAAAATTATTTTCACCTGTCAGAGCATGAATGCGAGGGTTAATGGCTGCAGCATTGACAAGGCAGGCTAACAAGGTCCTCAAAAATCCATCCCTGCTGTATAGACAAGTAGAGTTTGCACTGAGTGAGCACACTCAAAACTTGCCACACAATAACTCTGCGATAATAGGGGGAAGGGTGTGTGAGGGCCTGTGTGTCAGAATAAAAGGTGAGAAACAAACACAGAGCATATAAATGCGTCTGATGTTAAAAGAGCAGAATAGGTCGAAAGCGACATCCCAGCTGGCTGCACTGTGTGTGTACGTACCTGCTGTGTTTCCTTTTCTTTTTTTTTTTTAATAATGAATTGTGTCAAGTTGGACAGCGGTGATGTTTTGACAGATAAGAAGAGGCTGTGGTGTGTAATGATGAAGACTCGTCAGCACAACGCAGGAGCGTTCTGTGAAACTTTAACTGAAGCTGAAGATCGTCTGTCTTTGCATCGACGCCTCAGATCAAAGATATTGGTCAAACAAAGGAGAAAAAAAGGAGGAAAAACAACTGCTGTATGAATGGACACCTCAGAAAAGGAGGGACTGACAATCACAGACTTCTCTTTCTCTCTCTTCTTCAAGTGACCTACTGTAAAATAGACTATTCAACCAACTTTCCTCTTCTATGCTGCCTATACTGTACGTGATAGTCTTAAACTTTGGTCTCTAAAAGTGCTACTTTTTCTTTTTTTTGTAAAATGAAATAACAGCGAGAGGAATGAACAAAAATACATATGTACAAATGTGAATAAGCTGCTGAAAGAAATAAGCGTCACAAACTACTGTGTCCGAGACTGTGTCAGTGTCTAGATTGTACTATTTTCTTCTTTTGTCTTAGAAGTGGAGGGCAGAGAAATTGGTAGCTACATTGGACTCACAAATACACAAAATGACATACAGCATCCGCTGGGATGCAGAGCAGTGTTTGCTCATTCTCCCGGTGGTGTGTGTGTATGTGTGTGTGTGTGTGTGTGTTTGTATGTGTGTGTGTGGAGAAGGCTGATTGATGCCGGAGTGAGTCAGAAGGGATTCAGACTCTAGCCAAATCCTAGTTCAAATGCAATGAGATTCAACAGAGGAATCAGGAATTGATTTGTTGTCGCTGTTCACCAATCCATGATAAATGACTTTACCCAGTCGTGTTGGACTGAGGTTGGTATTATGGCAGCTAAGATTTATGGAATCACTCAATTGCTTTATTTATGTCTCCAAAATCAGCCTTCTTCTTGACACAACTTACTAAAGCCTGGGTTTCACAGAAGTGTATAAGCAATATTAATGGATATTTTCTTTTGCCTATCGCCTCACTATAATATAAATACCAGGCTGAGTTTGGGCTAAACCATGTGACTCAGTGAGCCGAAGCATATTCCACATACAGATACACATCACGACTTTGAGTGTGTTATGATCCATATCACATTTAATCCCCTCTCTATCACAACCCCTCATATCTCAGTCTAAGCTAATAGAGCTGAAATATTATAAAGGTCATCTTTAAGATTACCTTTGTGCTTGGATGCTTCTGGAGCCCATACACCCTGAAGAATGTAATACCACAAAAACTGCTTCTCTGAGAAAAAAAATGAAAAAATGAAACTGTGATTTGCTATATGCAGTATTTCTGTTTTTCAGTATGAGTTTCTTTGGGTTCTGTGCTGTTTGTCTCTGTGTTTAGAGGGTTTTGCTGCTGCCTTCGTGGCAGAAAAAAAGAAGGATTTTGGATGTTTTGTGGATGCTTGAATTGTGAAAGGCTTAAAAATAGGAGCGAAGGACAAAACGCTGTACGGTTTCTGTATGGAAGAGATGTTAAAATGTTATTTGTATGCCTAAAAATGCTCTTCAGTATGTAAGAAACATCTGTATTGCGAAGCACACAAGGTAATTAAAAGCTGGAAATGCTCTGATTGATGCAGCTAATGTCTGTCTTTGCAAGCAGGTTGTTATCCGGTAAAGCAAAAGTGCTCCGCTGGTGAACACACACAGACACACACACACACACACACACACACACACACACACAAACACACACCAGAAGGAACTTGTACAGTCATACAGTTGCGTGGTGAAAACGATCATAGTGAGTCATGATGGTATGATGATATGATTTCTCTCTGAACGTGGACCAGTCTGTCGTGATACAATGTAATTAATAAAAAGTGTTATGTCACATCAAAGCTCCTGCAAGTGAATGTACTGAAAAGTTAAGTCTATGTG